ATCTGGCCAGCATGCAGAATGAATCGAAAAGAGATCTAATTGTGGTGGAGTATAGTAAGGTTTTACTGGGTTATATGTTACCAGTTGCAGGCCTAAATCTGACCTGCAAAAACAAACTGTTTATTTTATTATTAGAAGTAGCTTTGGAGATATTGCCTTATGAAAATGATTAAAACTTGAAGAGCCTAATGATAGGTAGTCTTTTGCAATGTAATAGTTTCATTAGCAATTTCATCAATGTTGATCTCAAAAAATGTCAACATCTCAAGCATTGAAACCATCTTAATGAAGACCTCAACCATGTTGGGCAGGATGTATTTCTAGAATGGAAGATCATCACCTACCAAAACTGATACTATATAGCAAACTAACCTATGGCCATTGCAAGAGAGATGCCCATATCACAAGAGGGTGAGGAGGTCACAAGAAGCCCGCTAGCATTTTCGAGGACGTTAAATCTGACGAGGTGTAACAATATAGACGACAGAACGAGGATATGTATGATATATGCTGATTTATTCTAGAAAAAGAAAATAAGGTGGACGGAACGGTAGAGATGTAGAAGTTCTAGTGCAGCCATTGATGGTTGAGGTTGGTCGTTACAGGATCGCTGTTGGTCATGCAGATGGTTGCTGCAGAGATGATCGCTGTAGTTGAAGTTGGTCGTTGCCGCATTACAGATGATCGCTGCTGGTCGTTGCAGGTGATCGCTGTAGTAGAAGTTGATGTTGGTCGTTGCCGGGATGATCGCTGTTGGTTGTTGATCATTGCCGGGGTGCCAACTTGACATGTTGGGAAGGAGAGAAGAGCTGGCGTTGTTTGGGCATGTCACAGGTCCAGTGCAGGCGTTGCGTGTTGCCGGTCGAGTCCGATATTAGTAACCTCCCGTAATAATTACTAACATAGTGTACGGGAAAGGTTATGGACGATGTGCAGGCAGCCAGTAGGGACAGAATGCCGAGAGTCGAACGGGGCCAAGGAGCCAGGAGTAGTAGGCAAAGGAGAGAGAGAAAGGAAAGTTTCCAACTATCGTCAAGTTGGCAGACAAAAAAATGGGAACATAACTTAATATGCATCCTGTTGATCGACGTTCCTGGCTGCGAAGGCCAGGGGCCTGTGTATCCAACCGTTTCAGTCGCCGACCGGGATTTATTTTGTAAAAATACAAAATTGTGGCACAAGGCCGAAAAGGGGGAGGGGGTAAAAGGCTGGTCTTCACTAACTATCTTATACCTAGCTAATTTGATTCACGACCCATTCAGACATTGCAATTTACTCATTCACCATAAGAACTCATCCGTCACCAATCAATCCTCCATGCACCATAATACCACATCCGCTCTAGGGAGACCTACAAAACGCGCCCCGTATCATAATAATTTAATGATACTAACACATATGTACAAAAATTCTAAGATGAAAAAATGAGAGGGCGGGGAGATGAACCCAATAACGAACTAAAATATTAACATAAATGAAATTAAACATTAACTGATGTTAGTAGGGCCCGTCCAACCCTCAAAAGGCAAGGAGACCACTGTATTCTGCCCATTGGAACAAAATCAAGCAGCTCTTTCGCTAAGGGAGTGGGAAAGGTGATAAAAAATCATACGGGCATGGGAAAGTATAAAGCTGACCCAGTCAAGATGGAAAGTGGGGGGCCAAAAAACAAACTGGGGAGGTTGGGAATCTCAGGCTGGATCATAACTAAAGATGTGGCTGGGGGGCAGGCCGGGAACAACACTTACTCGCATTAACTAGGTACCCCAAAGCTAGTCTAACCTAACCAAGGGGAGGGCACCACAGGAAGCCACCCCGATGTAACGTAGGCTTGACCTAAAAGAGAAAATCAAGGCTAGCCCCATTCACATGAACCAAGCTCGCCTCAGTCACCCACCTTTCGCTGAAGACTGTCGAATGCAAGCTTTTTCTATCAGTTCTAATCTTCGTCTTGAGCTGATGCTCAAAGAATCGGATCAGATCCTGATGAGAAAGACAGTTACCCCGCAAGACTTCCTCCTCTCGCGTCGTCCATATCACCATTCGGGCCATGGCTAGCAGCATGAGAAACACCATCCGTTTCACCCTGGAATACGGGGGCGACACATTGTCACACGCGTATGCGCGATCCATGGGCACAAGCTTTTCGGGAGCGAGACGAGCTGTCAGCTCACTGACATGGTCCCATAAGGGGCGGACCCGGGGGCAATGGAAGAAGGCATGCGAAGCCGTTTCCTCTAGACCAAGTCCACACCGATCGCAGTCTGGCAAATCCGCCAAGCCCCATATGAAGGCCCTGTCATTGAGAGGCAGCCGATTCCAAGCCAGTCGCCAGGTAAGCAAAAACTCAGGGTTACTGAGGTAATCCGCTGCTGGCGCCCAAGACCAGTGAGAGCGAAACTCATCCTCGCGACCCCTTCCACTAGCAAATGATAGAAGTCCTTCCTAGGCCAAGAAAGGTCACTGGACTGAGGGACGGCCACCAAGGCCAACCGACACTTGTGAATGAAATCCGTTTCTTCCCTACAATGGCGCTCGGCCTGCGAGATGGGGGGATTGATAGAAAGGGTAGGGAAGGCATCCCTAACAATCCCCGCCATGACTGAATCTCCTGTCAATGCGCGGCGTAGGAAAGCCAACCTCGAGGCATGTTTGTGGCTCAGCATTCCCAGCCCCCCATGACACGGACGTTGTGCACAGACTTCTCTGTCGATCCGATTCCTGCGTACCCTCCATAGAATGGAGGTCAGTGAGCGCTCGAGCGGTTTCCTGTGGTCATCACAGAGAGGAAGTACGGACAATCGATAAAGGACAAGAGGGAGAATGTATGTAGCACACACCTCCGCCCTGCCCTTCACGGACAACCTCTGTCGACGCCAAGTCTGACCGGCGACACCATAACTCGTACTTCAGACCAATTCTTCATCAGCTGGAGGTCGGGTCCAAACCACACTTCGAGAATACGGACAGGACCGTCTGTCCAACCGAAGGGCCCTGGAAGATCTACCCCCTTCCAGACACCTAGCTGCAAGCCGGACGACTTGTTGCGGTTAATCTTGGCCCCTGTCACCTTTTCGTACTGATCAAGCGCCTTCTGTACTGCCTCAATTCCTCTGCGGGACGACACGAAAGCAGTTACGTAGGTACACGAAAGTAGGTACACGGAAACCGTGGCTCGAGCCCCGCCAGTAACGGCGATTCCGCGTAGGGCTGGCCTGCACGCCCTGTCCTTCAGCTGGCGAAGGAGAGGCTCCAACGCCAAAGCGTAAAGTAGGGGCGACAACGGGCAAACCTGACAAACTGACCTAGACAGCGCAAAAGCGCCCGACAGCTTTCCGTTCACCTGTACCACAGCACTGGGGGAGCGATACAGGGGGCTAATCCAGTGGCCTGCAGGACAGCAGTAAGGTAGCGATGGTCAACCCTATCAAATGCCTTGGACTGATTGAAATTGATCAGCGTGGCTCTCTTGTCCTCTTTTTACACCCTCTATGATCGTGCGGATCAAATGCAGGTTGCTCTGATCGCCGACCGTGAATTTAGTGAGATGTCACTCTCTTGTGGTAAGGGAGACCAGCAAGAGAATTGGATAAGCTAACAGTAAAGTCTCTATAATAAAATACGTCGAGGTTAGCTAAAGGGAACTAAGGCCTAAAAATGTCTAGAAGTATATTACAACTAGGTTTGTAATATAAGTAAACTAAAAAGGGAACTTGCTAGTCTCTACCACAGGTTTACAGCATATAGGGAGCACGAACGAGAGGTCAAGGTCGAAATGACCTGTTCTCTTAGTTTAAGGAGCGAAGGAGGAGGTAACTCCGACAATACTACTAACATGAGATTTTAGCACTTAGTTCGGTGATTTAAGCTAATCACAGGATTGTGATATTCTTATGGAAATGAAGTAAGAAAAGGAAATAAAAACTACTAACCAAATTAGATACAATAGAAGAATCCTATAATCAGAAGCAACAAAGATGAATAGTCAAAAAAAGAAAGAATTCTAGGGATTTCAGACAATAATACTGAAGAATCTATTAATTGAAACATGTAATAATTGACATGAAATATACAATGAAGCTGAACAAATAAAAATTTAATGTAAAATAGAGATTGTTGCAGGATCACCAGTATGATTGGGTAAGTATTTAGTCACCATTATGTTGTGGGAATCAAGTTTTGAGAGTAAATATTTATGGGCTCCTGGAAAATTTATCCCACAAATAATATTGCTGTACTCACATTGAGTCCAAGTAAAAAAAATGATAACACAAAATATAAAACAAACAACTAATGTTGTGTATTGACAAAATAAATTAAATTTAAATAAAAAAAGAAAACATTTAAAGACAAGTTTCATAGAAAAAATTTAAACTAGAGAATGTGTTTGTGTGTGTGAAATTATGTAGGTCTATATGATAGACGTCTGTGAAAAAGTTCAAAAGTTAAGAGAGGGAAAAGATAAAGCTATGAAAATTAATGCGCCCTAGTGGAAGACACTTCTTCCCCACGTGCAACTACATCTTATAGCCAGAAACTGTAAAAGAGGAAAGAGACTATGGAGAAAAATGTACATTTTTTTTTTTTTTATAGGCTTAAAGGAGTGCCCCTCAGAGAGGGTTTTATTTTTTTTTTCTTTTAGCAAAGTCAAGTGGGATAACCCACAAGATGAAGAAGCAGCAGTTAGTATCATTGCTATTAAACACTCCAATATTATTGAATAACCCATTAGCTACAGATGTTCAAAAGCCCAACACTGAAAAAGAAACTGATGTACAGCCACATTCAATCAGCTAAGTGACAAATTTTATATTTTTATTAATCCTATGGAACAAACATTTCTTTGAACTGTCTCCCTTGTATTTAAATTTGAGCTTGCACAATTACCCCCCTTACTTGATCTACTAAATCTTTCTGTCAATTTTCTATCTAAATCTTTCTTTAAAAAAAGAAAATCGTAAATTTATAAATTCATTCATTGTATTTACTTTTATTTACAGAGAGGATGGAGCCTATTTACCTACATGAAATGCTGGAAGGTTGTGAATTACATTTACCTGAATACACTGCACCTCCACGGGTCAGTTTGAATATTTAAAAAAAAATTACCTGAATTGTTTTCTTTCTGAGATTTAAAACTATGCATGTCTGTTAAATATGCATAGGTAAAATAAAAAAAAAAATGTATCAAACATTTCTTTAATCAATAACAGTTAATGTAACTAAAGTGAAAAACAAATGTAAAATTCACTATGGTATCTTGTTTATAAATATATTTGGCTACTAATATTGCAGAGTCCATATTAAGTGATGGGGGTTACTGGATGAATATTGTTCTGGAGCCAATCCTTTGATAAATCAAATATCCAAAGATACTGCATATAAACAAATATATCAAAATTGATACAACAAATTCTGTTGCTAAGTATTTAAAAAAAAATGGGGTGGTGATAACTATTTTAATGTTAACTGCATTTGCACTCATATATATATATATATATATTCATTCATATTAGTGTTCAGTTTTCCTTATTCTCTGTATCAATAAATATCTGGGGCAATAATGAAAAAGAGAAAACATTGGAAAATTTTGCAGCAAATTTTTTAGTGGGCAATATTTAAAAAAATTTGAGCAATATCTAATTTTATGCTCACTAATAAAAATTTGTGTTAAAAGTATAGTTATATCCTTGACACCACTATTACTATATACACGTTTGACTCACTCTGTAATGTTTATTAACTATTATAAAAATATGGGGACCAATTACAATGTGATATTATTTACCATTTTATAAAGAAATAAATTTGAAAAGAAATCTTTTTATTCAAGAATGTATAAAAATAACTACAAAATTATTAAAATAAGTAAACTAACTAGAATGCAATATTAATTATTTACCATTTTATAAACAATTATGAAAACAAGATGAATTCAATATAATAGTGTTTAACATTTTTGTTGTCATTTCTCAAGAAAAAAGAAAATGTATAAATCCATCTTTCATATATTTGAGTTTTATTAAAATTCTAATCATTGCTTTTTTAAAATAATAAACATTGCTGAGGGAGTCAAAAGTGTATACAGTAATAACAACAGTGTCAAGGGAATTTTTTGTGAGTGCAAAGGTTAAACATTGTTGAAATTTGTTAAACTCATAGGCTGTATGTTTTGTATTAAAAATCAAGAAGGAAGGAAGGCAAGCTAGGAATTAATACATAATGAACTTAAGAAGAAAAGCATTAATGATAAGTTTATTATATCTATAAAAGACACACATTCTTAATATTATTTTTAGAAAAATAATATAATTTTTTTTATAGCAATACATTGTAAATAAGAAAGGGATTGTTAATTGTTAGAAATTAATGGAAGATAGAATATACTATTATATTTTCAAGATAAATGCATCATTACTTAATTTACAATAGAAATGCATTTGAATTGGTATGTATATATATTGAGCAGCTGTCTATACTTCTGAGATGAAGTATTGCAATTATTTACATTATTTAAAGGGAGATAACTGATACATCCGGAAGAGGAATTGCATGTGAAACTAGAACAATCTACCATAGTGGACGAAATAAAGGGTTCAGTTCAAAATTCCAATCACCTGAAAAAGGCTGGAGTGTACAATGGCCAAATCATTGTGAATATGGCAACAAAGATGTGGACATGTCCGAACAATTTAAATAGTGTAAATAACCACCAAATATGTTTCCAACAAAATGATACAGAATGAAATCAAAGACATGGTGGATTGAAATTTTCTGAAATATTTATTCCATAAAATAGGAATAAAATAAGTCTGGTTGCAGAAAAATGTACACCTTTCATTAACTACAGAGTCTAAGTTCAAAAGCCTATGTTTCTGGACCAAAAAATTACTACTTACTGACTTAGAGATTTTTTAAAGTGCCAGTCAGCTCTTTCTGCTATTACATTTATACCCTACAGCCAATCCTGCTGCTGTTGTAACCTAAAGTCATTAAATATTAGCTAAAAAAATATTATCAGTGGTCATGAATTAATGTTACAGATTGTATCAAGATATTATATGTGATTCTGTCTATAATCTATAAATACCTTCATTTAGTAACAATTTAAAAGCAATAACAATTTTCATTGTTTTTTTTTAATTCTTTTTTTTTTCCAGAATCCAGAACTTGAAACCAGAATTCAACGTTTGAAAGCAGAAGCAGCTGAGAGAGAATACAAAAAAATGACTAAAAACGTTGCAAGTCCGGTAAATTTCTCATCTTCACTTGCTAAAATACTACATTCAGCAGCCTCTGCTTGATATCTTCATATTTATAGAATTTATATTATGATTATTTGATTAATTATCACTATGCTTTATTATTATTATTAAAGTATCATTACTGGCATGCCACTATCACTGATGGAGGTAATTGTAATCAGGTCAAGGATTCTTCTCTGCTCAACCATTTTATTTTCTTAGCAAAGAAACTAAATAACTTTGTAGTTAGAATTTACTAAACTTTAATTATCTCCCTTGAACAAACATTTTTTTTTTTTTAAACCATTAACCTGGATGGGACAGGTAATTGCTTTATTCTCCATATTAGATCATTTTAATGGTATTGCACTAACAAAAATTGCATTATATTGTCTTCTTTTTAAAGTAATAAACACACATATGGTTTGCTATTATATACTGTAAATAATTTAGTCCTACTGTATATATGACATTTCATACCTTCTAATGATTGCTTATATAGTGGCACAGCAAATACGAAGTGTTTAAATAAGCAATGAACTGATAAAGGGATTGTCAGTGGTCAGGAATTAAAGCAAGCATAACTAATAGAATAGAAATATTATGTGTATAATATCAATGCTTTACTTACGATTTTACTATTTCAGTTAATTGAAAATCAGAAAGAAAGGGATTTATAGTAACCAAGAAAGAAACATTAAGGCAACTATTCATAATGGAATAAAACTATAATATTTTATGAGATTGTGTTTGAAAAGTTTTCAGCTTGATCTACTTTCCAAAATCTAACCAACTAGCTGAACATTAGAATTTTAAAAAATCCTTTTTGTTTGGGCCAAGAACTTTTCAGCACCTCTTATATAATGATTTTACTACAGAAATATATTTATTGAAAGTCAAGAAGAAAGGTATTGTCAATGGTGAGGAATTAAGTGTTCATGATGGAATAGGACTAATGGATAATTATTAAGATTTCATGACAATTCTCAGTTTTAATGAAGAATATTTTTCGGAAATTTTATTTTCTGAAAGAAAATAAAACCTGCTGCAACAATATTTTCACTATTGCCTGAATTAATAACAAAAGAAAAAAAGATTGCAAATCAGGTTCAATTACAAAGAAAAAATATTTATTTATTTCTAATCAGCTAAACAAGGGTTCTTGCGAAAATTTCTCCCTTTTTGCTGAGAATAAGATAACCTATTCTCTGAGTAACACAATGTAAAAAAACATAGCAGAAAACAAACTTAAAAATTACAATGCACAAAAAAACAAAAAAAAAAGAATAGCGCCCCCCCGTGTCAATGATAAGAATAAAAAAAGTGGGGAGAGCCATAGCTCTACAGTACACTTTCAGTCCTTTCAAGGTTCAAAAGTTTTTATCTTTTTTTCTTTTCTCTTGTGTAGACAAGATTCTCTTCTTTCTTCACTTATTTTTCTGCCTGGATATTACGCCTTTCTTTTACAGCCGTAGAAGGTGAAAACTAAACTTTTACTAAAACACTTTGTGAAAACGCACGTGTTTGCTCTTTCTTTTTCTCAAATGGCTTCAGCTCTAAACTCCACTTATGGACTTCTTTTCAACTTTCTTTTCTGGGGCTTCTATGAGAGGACTTCTCAAAACTTTCTCTAAAGGGGAAACTTGCCCTCAGCAACTTTGTTACTCATGCATCCTTTACTTATGGGCAAACGCTGCCTGCCTTTTCAGCAGGGAGAGAGAAAACAAACCTCCTGTCTCTAAGTGGTCTCGTTTCCAACTGCTGCTAAGTTCCAGTCCTAGTTCTCCCTTCCCTTTCAAAGGGGAGGGGGTTCACCTTTGAACCGTCCAATCACAGTCCATTAAAAAAAAAAAACAATCAGCAGGTTCTTAGGGCCAGTAACACAGTGAGTGTCTTTTGTTCTCCCTTGACCTAAAAATTTTCAAATATTCATTTTGTCTTTTTAATTTTCATAATTGTTTGAAATTTTATTTTTTCAAGAAAATGTTTTCATTTAAAAATGTACTTTGTTTATAACAATTTATAGTAAGAATTTATTCTTAAAAAATCAAGCATTTTATATTTGCCTTATAAACTTTTTATCTTTTCTTTTAGGAAACCTTTTATAAAGAAAACCTTGGACATGAAAGTATGTTGATTTCTTAATGTCTTATATAAGCATAAAGTTTTAAATCTTGTCTAATAATTTTAATAAAGTGACTATAAATGAAATACTCATCATAAGTAATCAGATTAACAGACAAATGTGATGAGCAATTTAGTTAATGTTTCAATGTTTATTCACATCATTATCAAAACAATTATCAAAGGAAGTAAATTTTTCTGCAACAAATCAGAATTTCTGGCTACATCATTTTCTTTACTTTATTTGTTCATTTATTTCCGATGTATGTAATATGAGGTCTGTTAAAAAAGAAAATGTTCCAAGATATTTGTTTGCTTCGTATGATCGTTCTTCAAGTAAAATATATTTTTTCCACTACTAGTTTCATCAAGCCTGGTCAGTACCAGGATGGGTGACTGCTTGGGAATACCAGATGCTGTAAGCTTGGATGTGTGGGTGGTGTAATGAATAATGGCTCAAAATTGGAAACTGGAGAACAGAGATCCAATTCCTCTCAGGTTCATTACATTCAAATAAACTTGGGAAAGATATGAATCCACCTCTTCTTCCCACCATCTATGGGTTAATTAGTAGGATTTCTAAATCATTAACTTAAAAATATCTTCCAATCTAAAAATGTTTTCTGGCTTTGAATAACCTGTAAATGCTTGATACACCATAAAAAACAAATGAATTAATCCATCAGTCACTGGGTTTCTTAAAATAACTGTAGACATTTACTAAACTTTAGCATAGTTTGGTGCAACATCACAGTAGTGTCATACCCAGTGAGGATCTAACTCACTGCATGAATCTAGTCAGTAAGATTAGATCTCTAATCATTTTGCAGTCTGCTATAGTTGAGCATTACCTTATAGCAATCATGGAAATTGCTCCGAGGAGCTGCATTCGCTGGTTCCCAGACGTCATGAGTTCCAGCGCCTTACGAGGCTGGCATCCCGCTCTCACCCCTTCACTGTCGAAACTCCTAAATGTAGCCGTCTCTTCTACTCTAATAGCTTCATGTCTCGCACCTCTCGCCCGTGGAACTCCCTTCCCTATTCCTGTTTCCCTGTGAGCTATAATCTCCAGCTATTCAAGTGTAATGTCAATCGACATCTCCAGTTGCCTTGATCTATCCACTACCCTCATCCTTACTTCTATCACTCCTATCTGATCTTGCTCTAAATTTTCTGTAACCTCCTGCATCCTAGTGGCTTCCCACCTTGCTTGGGGTGAAATGCTTAAAAAAAAAAAATCAACTTAAGAATATGGTTTTTGTCAAACTATCTCAATTTAAAAGAAATATTAATCTTTTCATGAAAATATCAAAAATAAAAGCAATTCATTCTGCTTATAACAATCAATTTAAATGGTTGTCAGTGTTTCTCTTTAAGAATCTATTTCCTTATACATCAAGTGCACAATTCACCCTCAAATTCTGCATCTTATCCACTGATGGTTAGGTTACCAGACATTTGACACATTTCGGAATAAAATCAAAAATCAAAATTAAAGCATAAAAAAATATCTTGATTGATGCACCCATTCTCTGATGACCACCAAATTAAATATATCTGATGGCAAAATGAATACAAATCAAAATAATGTTAAAATGTAAAAAAATCAAAAAATCTTGTATGTATGTATGTGTGTGTGTGTGTGTGTGTGTATATATATATATATATATATATATATATATATATATATATATATATATATTTTTTTTTTTTTTTTTCATTGAAAATAGCTGACAAGGAAGATTTACATTATTCGGACTATTGTCCTCATCTTTGTTGCCATATTGATTAATACATTTTGGTCGTTGTATGCTCCGGCCTTCTTCAGGTGGTTAGAATGTCAAACTGAACCCTTTATTTCACTCACTGGGGTAGACTGTTCTAGTTCCATGTGCCCTGTTAAGGCAGTGGAGAACTTGGAGAGGGGAATTAACAGGAGATAACTGATAAATGACATCCATTAAAAAAACATGCCATGTGGAACTAGTTTGACATTCCACGTACAACGGCCGAAACGTAATAAATATGGCAACAAAGATGAGGACAATAGTCCAAATAATGTAAATAGTGTACATAATACCTCATCTCAGAAATATAGACAGATACTGAAAGGCCGAAACATTGTAATAAATATGGCAACAAAGATGAGGACAATAGTCCAAATAATGTAAATAGTGTACATAATACCTCATCTCAGAAATATAGACAGATACTGAAGGAAGATTTAATTAAACTTTTATTGAGTTTTTCCAGCAATCTAACATTTTTCCATTTTTCAGGAGTTAAAGAATATAGGAATTGTCCATAGTTATAATTGTTCCGAGTGCTTTCAGCTACTTCTCTAGCCATTATCAAGGATGTGTTATGTATTGTTATTATTATATTTTTTTCAAAAATATTCCTTGTTAAATATTAAATGTGAGTTAAATACCAAAAATACAGTATTTATTTTTTTAACAATGAATAATTAATTATTTCTTTGTTTTTTTTTTCCACCTTCTGCTAGTGAAAGCAATGAATAATCAAATAATTGCTGTGGTCAACTTTGCTGTGACTGTTGTGGGAGCTTTTGTTTTTGGTTACAAAGGTTCTGAAGCTGCCATGGAAATTCCAAATGTTGCAATTGTGAGTAAAATTTTCTTTTCTTTGGTAATACCATATTTCTGTAAAATGTGATATTGTGTATAATACAGGCTCCTATTTCTACATGTAAAAATCACTGAATAAATTTAATTTTTCTGTGTAATAAGATACCCATTCTATATGTAAATTGATTAGGCTGAAATTTGAAATCTGATTTTATAAACCTGAGTAAATCTTGGATTTTGGTATTTTTAGCAACTAAAAAAGAAAAAATATGCAAATTTCTACCCAAGGCGATCATACTGGGCTTCAAATAGCAAATTAGATTGCATTTATGTGTCCTCCATACAGTGACTTGAGCCAAAGAGTGTGAGTTCAATACCTGGCCACAGCAGATGTGAACAAAAACTTGGAGAGTTGAGCTACTAAAGGGAAATAACTGAAACTGAGATATCCAGAAAAGGCATGGCATGTGGAACTAGAATAATCTACTCCAGTTCGTAATTCCAACGTATATCACCTGAAGAAGGCTGGAGCATACAACAGCCGAAACATTGTGAATATGGCAATAAAGATGAGGACATAAGTTTGAACTATTTAAACTTATCTCAGAAAAAGATTACATTTAAAAGCACACATAAGTCTTAGATTAGGATAAGGTTTGGTGAAAGATATGGGCTTCTATCTAGGGTTGTCATTTTTCTGTCTCTTATATGGCATCATGGAGCCCTTAGAATTGTGGAAACTCCTGGCAACTATCCAATGTACCTTAAGACAGCACTGGCTAAAATTCACATGTTGAGCTACACCAAGGAAGTGCCTCAATCTTTAAAGAGTGAATTTGGTGTGTGCAAGCTAATCTCCATTTTGAACAATCAATACAGTTTTGATCCTCACAAGCAAAGATCAAGCCAACAACAACACTAGTAAATTGAACTTGTACTATGGTTGCTGTCATTGGTTATTTACTAAGTGCTTAGTAGTGGTGCAGTGAATGTGCATTGCACTTATTACACCAGTCTGTGAGATGTGCATACACACTACCACATTGTCTAGAGTTTGTTTTCTGAAATTATATTTGTCAAACTTAATGCCACAGTAGTAAAATCTCCAGTGTGGATTGAAGGCATCTAATAAATTAGGACAATTTGTCTCTACAATAGGAAAAAATATACATCTGATTTTTTTAATCTTTATTTTATTCAGCTCCAAAAATGTTCAGAATTAAAAGAAATGATCAAAAATTAAAATTTAAGATGATCCACAATTGTTTTTAAGAAAGTAATTTTTTATTCTGAATCATATTTTTATGCACTGATTTATATCTTTCATTTTCTCTTTTCAATGATTCCTGAATAAATTGTTTATAGGGCTTATGGCCAAATCATATTGCAATGTTGAGCCTGGTCCGTAGCTATAGATGGGTGACCCCTTTCAGAAAACCAGATGCTGTAAGCTTGGATGTGCAGCTGATGGAATGAATAATGGCTCAGAATTGTTAATTGGAGTTCCAATTCCAGTTGTGTTTGTTGCATACACTTACGCATAATTACCATTGAGTAAGGTATGAATGCAATGCTTTCCCCCCACTATGAGTTAATTAGTAAGATGTACCACTAAATCATTATTATCTCCAAAAAATTCTTACAATCTGAAAATGCTTTCTGGCTTTAAATAACCTGTAAACGGTTGATAAGCCATAAAAAACAAATCTTATAAGAGACAGCAATTTATAAGAAGACTTGCATTGATTGGGCAAAATTGGTTTATTTGTTTTTGCTGAGTATACTGAACTGATTAGGTTATTAATAGTTTGTTTTCTAAAGATGCTGATAATTAAAAATGTGTTTACCGTCTGTCCCATAATAATTGCTACATTTAGTGCATGGAATGTATATGCAAGTATAACAATTATTATGGGACAAAACTAGTATATGTTTTCTGTGTTTTAATATAATTTTATATATTTTTCTCTTTCAGCAACTAACAGTGGCAATGATACTTGCAACAATTGTCTTCTTTGCAGATCTCTACTTTTTAATAAAAAAAACAATGTGAATTTCTATTTTGTTATGAAATCAAGAACCGGTATCTGCTGTTGACTTCTTTGGGATCTGGACAGAACTCAGAATACTTTGGCCACTCCTCAGATAATTTATCATCTAAATTTCTGAGATGAAGTTTTGTCATTATTCCATGGTTCTAAAATCTTTATTGTTTTGGATTCAACATTCCAAATAGTCCATTGTTTAACTTTCTTTGGGCGCATGTAACATCTGGTGAATTGTATTTTACAATACCAATACTATATATATATATATATATATATATATATACACATTTTTCTTTTTTTTTTTTGGGTTAATTCTTACATTTTCTTGGTATCTAAAAGAATAAAACTATTATTCAGGTGATGCATACACCTGAGAAAGATTAGAAAATAAACCAATTATATAACCTCCATAAGGAATTTAATTAATTAATTTTGAAAAAAAAATTTTTATAATTTCATGTAAGAAACAGAAACTAAAATTCAAATTAGGTTTTAAAAAAAGTACAAAATTAAAATTAAAGAGAAAGTAAAGGAAAAAAAATCCAATATTTTTCACCAGAATTTCTGATTCAAGACATTTTTCCCTAAAGGTGTTTGTGCTTTTTAGTTAAAAACTAATTTTTTTATACAAATGTTTTCACACATCTAATATCTTTTACATATCAGTTTTCTCATTTTTGTTATCTTCATCGCAATGTTTTGACTGCTGAACTCTTCAACTTTCATCAGGCATTTTGTAAACTTCCTGGAATATCAACTAGAACATTTTTATTTGTATCTTTCCTATGAAATAAGTGTAAATTTTCTCTTCTTTCTCTCTGCCTATCCCCCGACCTGGTGTACTACCTGAACCAGAAATTGTACTTGCAACTTCCAGGGAACATAGATGTGCTTTTTTTTTCCATTAGATCATGTTCCCCCAAGGATATTCACTTGTTCTCATTTAATTCAGAGTATTTAGACAGAAATTGTTCTTTTGAACATGTATTGTTCAAAACAATAGACATTTTGTGTCTATTATATTTAATGAACTTTTCTTTCTAGTGTACGAATATCCTTTTACAAATATGGTTGTTGTGTGTGGATAAATTGGCTAAAATTCATGTTGTGTTGTCCCAAGCTTTTGATCCACATGAATTTTAATTGGGAGCTGACAAAGAATAGTTATTTTTATTTATAGATAACTGCTTAAGTTGTTCTCAGTTTTAAATTTCCTTGTTTGTAAAATTAATCTAATGTTCTTATAGCATTTGTAATTAATTTTCACTGTTAATTTTTAACTTTTTTCTTAATTTTTATACCATCATTTTAGAAAATACTTATATTTTTTTTTTTTTTAACAGTATTTGAAGAATGATTATGATCAAATTGTATTTGGCACTTTATCATTTTTATAGAACTGCATTTAATACACATGACTAAGAAACAGAAAATGAATTCTTCATAATCATGTCAAGTTTGTTTCAGACTCTTCTATGATCTGAATTTATTATTGAGAATCTCTAAATGAAGAAAAAACATTGATACCATCAGTTTTACACTGACATGTAGGCCAGAAGTAGAACAATGAGCATTCTCTAGTCAATACATAACATTGCTAGAAAGCAATTATTGATGGCAGTGGTGTTCAGAGAAGAAAATGAAGACAAGGTGTGAATTTAAAAAGGGGGGGGCATTTATATAATTAATGCCCTTTGACACTGAATAGCTAGTGAAAACATTAACATCATTTGGAACATGGTCAAAGATAAATCTTTTGAGATTGTTTTTTTTAACTCAAAGCCCTTTTATCAATAAAATCATCAAGAATAAAAGTTTTTGTGTAGATAATTAAAGCAAAAAGCCATAAAACAATTTTCAGTTATTCTTTTGCTCTCTAAGGCTTTGATACTTGAAATTCATAAGAGAAAAGAACAAATAAGATAATGAGGTTCTAAAAATGCAGAGATTGATTTATTATTCCATGACTTGTTCAGATTGAACTTATTCTTTATGTTGCTATGGTTACCATGATATTCTGAACACTGCATTCTACAACAGAAGAAAAGAGGGTATTCATCTGTCTTCTCACAGTCTTTGGCACAAAGCTTTTTTTTTAATCATGGGAACCTACAAATTTGAAAAAATAATCAAATTTCCCTGTCTCTTGCTGCAAGTATCATGGCATGCTGCTTACTGACAACACCCCTTTTAGCAGAATGGGTAATGGAACTAGTGAATTATATCTGTCTCACTTGAAGATGAGAGAGAGAAAGAAAGAAGTATTTATTTTGTACAGAGATAATGTAGCAAATAGAAAAAATAGTGGTTAATATAAAAGTATAAAATGAATGATCCAAAAGTTTATGCTAAAAAAAAAAAAAAAAAAAGCAGCCCCAAGAATTAGTTTAATAATTTGAACAACCCTTGGAATGATAATCACTTTTTCAAAATTATAGTCAGGTTAATTAAAAATAAAGAACCTAAAATATTAAAAGTAAAACTTTTCTATGTGACCTTATATTTGGATATTGATTTTTATATACTATGTCAACGTTTTCTCAATAAATAATAAGATGACAACAATTTTTTTATTTTTATTTGAATCTGATGTTTTTGGTTAATTCTTTCAATTCAATTTTTTTACACAAATGATTTTTGGTCATTTTTTTTTTTTTTTTTTTAAATATTAATAAGTTCATTAGATGTTCAATATGAACTGTTTTTTTTTCTTTTTTAAGTCTGATGTATTTTTAGACAAAGTAACTTTTTTAGGAGTGACAAAATACTATTATTTAACAATCTGTATTATTTACATGAATTAAGAACTGGCTAATAGATATTTTCTTAGGACATTGCATTTCCCATTGAAAGGAATACAAAAAGACACTAAGATGGATATTTTTTTAGTTTTCAGACAAAAATCCCTCATTAAAAAAACTTTCTTTTTTTTGAGTTCATATATAAAATAAATGTAAAAAGAAAAAATCTATTCAACCTGATTTAAAATTTGACTTGTAAACTTTTGAAGTTTTCACCTTCAATCATTTTTTGTTGAGAGGCAATCAAGGCACCTTAAAACATTGATACCATCAGTTTTTCACTGACATGTAGGCCATTTACTAAGTTTAACTTATGGTATGAAGCAAAATAGAGAGTAATGGTAGGTGGAAGATTGTATGGCACCTGTCTTTCAAGTGAAGTGTTTTGCTTTGAAAATCAGTTTTTAAAATTCTGGCTTTTACAAACACTGACCATTCTTGTCCAAGACAAATTTAAAAACACAGACAAGGAAGTCCCTAATATATATAAATTTTGTCAAGGTTGACTCAGAGGGTAACAGCTTCTTGTTGTTTATAGGAGAGTAGTTTGAAATGTAGACAAGGTGCTATCTACAAAAGTTTGGCAATGTGAATAGCATGTGTCAACTAATGTCATATGAGCATTTACTACTGGATAGAGGCCCCCACAAGAAAACTACTTTGATGCATCTAAGTAGTTCAATAGTAAGAATGGTGAGACCTAGTTGCCAATCTAGTAGCATGCTTAAATTCATGTAGTTGTGTACCAGGGAAAAAAGCTCATCAGAACAGTTGCCATGAAAATATTTGCAGAACAGAGGGAAGCCATGTCATGTCTGTGAGAAAGTAATTGAAGTTGAGATTCCTGGTTAGAAGTGATTTCATTACAGACCTGTCTTTGAATTTGGTAGGTTTATAAATGAATTTTGCTGAGAAAAAATTTCTATCAACACAGTGAACCAGCTTGCAGTAGACGAAGCAATTGGTTCAATATAATCACTCCACCACATGAAGTCAAGAAGGTGAGTTTTGGTTTGGAGGCTTTAAAATTTACAAGCCATTGTTTGCCCCAGTTAACACAGATTGAAGGTCCTTTTCAAGTTGCCAGGTTTACTTTGTTGGGTCTATCAGATTTGCTAAGACAGGAGTAAATGTTTGGTATCCACATAAATACCTATTTGTGAATTGATTAGATTGTGGAGATCATTGATGAAGGACCAAAGATAGAGCCATGGGGAAGCCCTGTGCTAGTATGAAATGATATGGAAGCATGCCTGCTCAACACAACCTTCATTACATGATTTGTTAGGAATGACTGGATTAAGACACTATAGCCCTTCAGCTTGTGTTGAAGTCGAGCATGTTGAATAACTTCAAAATATCTAGAGCTACAGTCTGTGCTTTGTCATTATCTAAGGCTTGATAGACAAATTCAGTGTGAGTTCAATATCTGGTCAAGGCAGTAGAGAACTTTCAGAGGGAAATTAACAGGAGATAACTGACATCCATTAAACATGGCACGTGGAACTAGAACAGTCTACCCCAGTGAGCGAAATAAAGGGTTCAGTTCGACATTCCAACCACTTGAAGAAGGCCGGAGTGTATAACAGCCAAAACATTGTAATAAATATAGCGACAAAGATGAGGACAATAGTCCAAATAATGTAAATAATGTACATACTACCTCATCTCAGAAATATAGACAGATACTCAAGAGTTTTATATTCAACAAAGTGGCTTTCTCTGTAAAAGAGAATTGCAAATTTGTAGCTATTGAAAGGAGATGGTTCCTGTAAGAAGAAAATCAAAGTAAAGGTGAAGTTTGAGAAAATAAATAATTGGCATTGAGGTGGATGTTTAAAACTTGATACCATTATGACTTAACTTAGATAACTGTGTAAAATTTAGTATGAGTTGCAGATTTTGACAGATTGAAGTTTTGTATTTGGAAAGGACCAAAAAGTGAACAAAGTTTTGTTATCAAGTAAAGAGGATGGTAATTGAGTGGGAAGTAAAAAAAGCATTTTCAAAGAGAAAAATCAAGTGTTGAGCAATTGAGTAAGTGGGCGGGGAGCTGGTTGAGTGGAATATAAATCCTGCTTCCTTTTTCTGAGAGAACAAAGAGAAGGTTGTGCGATTGTGGAAATGGGGGGGGTGATGAATAGGCAGGCAGTATGAATTCTATTTTTGATTTCAGTGGCAGACTTTCTGGAGAACATTCTCCG